TAAACCTATGAGCAGAGTTCTTCCATAAACTTTAATGCTGTTTATAATAGTCCTTGCCCAACAGAAAGACCCCCATTTTTCTCTGTGATTTCCCCCGCTCCACTTCAGCAGCTGCCAAAGACCCCCAGCATCCAGGTCTCTGCAGCAGAAAGGCTGGGATGCAACATGGGGACGAAGAGCCACAGCCAAGAGGAAGCAAATTGTCCTGCAAAGCAGCAAGTTCTGCCCTGGCTGGGGCTGCTTTATACTTTCACATGCTAAGAGCTGCCCCAATTGTTCCTCCAGCTCTTAAAGCTCCAATTTTCCTAAGCATGTGCCCAAGCTTCTGCTCTGCGGCTTGGGGCTTTGGGTTGCGCAGGCAGACCAGACAAAAGTAGCCTCAGAGCATAGAAATAAGTTTAAGAAACTTAAGCCTGTTTTCTAAACTGTAGTTATCGCTTTAGAAAAGTGCACAAAACATGCCAGTAACTTCGCTGTTCTGTCTGACTGCACACTTCTCAGGTATGACCCGCCATGACCGAGACATGCAGCTGCCTGCACACCAGGTCTCGACTGAAGCCATGATGCTGGACCAGGCAGCCCTGCATCTACAGCCTCACCTGCTTTTAGGACAATACACTGCAGAGCAATTTAGGGTCTACGGAGCGGATCATGATTTGGATGACACACAGACTTAAAATCTCACCTTGCTCTGCCCAGTGCTGCACTGGCAACAGTGTGAGACTTGGTGTGTCCAAGTGGAAACAAGTTACAGCCCAAGTCACTCTACCGCCTAGATATTGCAGTTGAGGAACATTTTGGTACCTTGCATTTTATGAGAAGATCTCAGAAGGATCTGAGGGGTTGGGAGTTGTCATTTTGTCTCAGCTAAGAGCCAGAAAAGCATCACATACAGTGTACTTATAACTAAGCTTGTACAGCAGTGAGGTTGCCTATTAGTGTGCTCACAGAGGCTTTACTACGTAGCTATTCCTCTAGCTCTTCTAGAAGCCTGAGGGGTAGCAGATAAACTGTTTTTCCTGGGGGATTACACTAGTAGATCAGAGAAAATCTGGAAGCTAAGGCCTGACTCTGAGGATATCCCCAAGGATAGTTTGAATATATAAAGATACTCCATACCAATAACCCAGAAAATCCTTACCAAAGTTATCCCGAGACTTCTGTTGCTTTACATCCACATCTTGGGGATGGAAGAAATTGGGACAACCACCTCTAGGATTTGGTCTACAATTATGTGAAGACCAAGCTGGGTTTTATCTTAGTCTTGTACAACTCTTTCTAAAACCTGTACCTATGCTGTCAACAGCTAGATTTTTCCTTAAACGCTTGTTTTCTATTCAAGTAATTTCAGAATATCCAACCAACACCAAAGACTCCCATTCTTATGGGCATGCTCATGGTCATGCCAGATGTGCCAGATCGCTTTTATAGCACCTAGCACCCAAACTGGAAGGGTATTTTTAAAAGAGTTCGGGTTTTGGTTTTTTTTTCAGGAGGTGGCACAGGCCCCTGTGAACTGCAGTGACTCACAGGTAGCATGGGAGAATATTTTTCAGGGATCAACATTAAGAGACTTCCTGAGAGGCAGCAGCATTTACAGAGGACCTCCTGGGCTTCCTGTAAAGTCAAGCCAAGCAGCAAAGGCAACAGCAGCACTACAAAGGGCAAGCTCCAAAGTGACATTTTATGTGACACTATCCAGGAACACTACAATAGCTTCAGCAGAGTTACTCATTTTAGGATAGCAAATATATACAAGATGTTCAGAGGAGACTGTAAGACTGTTGGTGGCTCTGAGCGGACAAATAGAGCTGGAGACATTACTAATACCTTGAGATACTGAGGGGCGCAATGAAGTGCACTGCTTTAGGTGCCCCTTGCTCAGCGCTGCTGTTCCAGTCAGCCAGCAGGCACAAAGCACACACAGACAACCCATCTCATCATCTCAGAGAAGAAATCAGTATGCATGTCAAAATAAGGAGGCTGAAACCAATTCACTCCTAACAGCTCCAGGGGCAAACCCAAGGGCCTCCATCTTAGAAAGGCAAGGGGCCACTGCTTGGCTCCTGATCCACAGGTCCTGGCCCCGAACCCCATCGTGTGCTGCTCCAGCAGCTGCTGAGCTTAACGTAGGTATAAACCGGTCCAGCCTCTGTAGGAGAAAATGTGCCAGTACCTTGATAGAAGCAGGGACTAAGCATTGCATTTCAGAGTGAAGTTAAAGCTCAGGTCTTCATATTCATCCTTTTCACTCTTATGTGCTATATTAAACCTTGTGATGGTCATACTCACCTGCTTGGGGTTTTGGTTACGGCCAGCAGAAAGTATTTCTGATTAAACTCTAAACCTGAATGTTAGCATGACATCAGATCGAGAGAACATTTGTTATTGGTCTTCAAGGAAGAGAGAAACTAGAGACAGCAGGTAGGGAGAAGAAGCACCAAAGTCCAGCTCTTCCTCCTTAGAGGATCTCATTTAGTGGTTCATACTGGAGGAGCTCAAGGACCCTTTGCACCTCTTAGGGCTTATATTTCAAACTGCAATGCAAGCAGTAAATATGTGGGCTACACACCAAAATAGATCAGCCTTTTGCAGAAGAGATTATAGAAAGCTCGACAGGCTTATCAGAGGTTGGGAGCAACCCCTGTCTAGGGTTTGTCACAATTTCTACTCCTAATCTTTAATCCTGATACTAATCCTTATACTTAATCTGAATATTAATAGATTATTTTCAAAATACTTAACTGGAGACAGGCCCATTGGCTTCCTGCAGCTGTAGCCATAGAGGAGCCCAAGGATCTGCAGAAGGCGTGAAGAGGGTCAGGCATCAGAAAAACTGATGAAGGCTGCCCACGCAGAAGATGACCTGGTCCCCAGGAGACCCAGCAAGGGATATCTCTGGAGAAAACAGCCTTTTAAATTTACAGGGAATAAAAATCTCAGGTGAGGGCACAGCGTTTTGTTGCCACGATCACTGGAACTCATCCCTGGAAAAGCACATCAGGGATGCGACACCCTTGTCCCCTGTACCCCGTGTGCTGGCAACACCAGCAGTGGCATGCAGGACTGGCGGGCAAGGGAGGTGTATTCACAGCCAAGGGAAAGATGACAGCAACCAAAAAAGAAAGTAAGAGGTGTAGCACACAGTTGGACCCCACATCTCCCACCCATTAGGAAAGGGAAACAGATCTGGTCCCTCCTACAAGCAGAAAAGCCCAAGGCAAGCAACAATTTAGCAACAGCCTTTATCACTTCTCTAGCCCCTGCTCTCATGCAGGAGATCAGTTTCAGTTCCTTAGACAAGGACAGGACAGGAGGCACCCCAGAGAAGCACAAAGTTAACAAAACTGATATATTTTGGCACTGGGGCTTCAAAACTCTTTTAAACTGTTTGAATGGTTCCTTGCCTAAAGACTCTTGAGCTTCAGCAATATCTCTAAATCCACCTGCGCTCTCATCAGCAAGAGAAGCCAAGGTGGAAAGGAAATAGGGAACAACAGCATCAAAATAAGATTTATTATTTAGAACCAAGATTTGGAAGAGACAGACATGGCAGATAACAACAAAACAATAAGCCAGGCTCCAGCTGGGAGTATGTAACTGAATGACTTACGAGCAAATAGAAATTCCTGTTTCTCTGGTATCAAAACAAGACTGAAAAGGTCAAAACATCATGGTCTGGAACTGTTTAAGAGGGAAGCAACTGAGGTCCTTGGGTGCATAGCACAGCAGCAGAGGGTTGGAAGAGTTTGGGGCCCAAGCAAAACAGCAAGAGCAGCACACTTTCCCACTCCTTAGGAACAGTGCTAAAACCCATCTTTCTGAAAAAAGAGTTGAGTAGTCCTTTATAATAAATGATTACTCATGAGATTATTGCTACAAACTACTTTGTACATCACCTCAACCCAGGAGACAGCTGAAACCCATCGTCAGTGAATCAAGAAAAAGAAATCTCCCACTACATAATTTTAGCTTGTTGAAGGCACTTTAAAGTCTTTTAAAAATTGCTCCAATTACCGACTCATCTGTAGAAGGATTTTAGTCTTACATTTAAAATTAGAAGTGACTCGAGAACTGTATTTAACTCTGGCAAGAAAATGTGGCTGGTCTGTAAGAAAAAGAAAGAGGTAAAAAGGGAAGTGACAAGTACAAACTTGCTCTCTGGTAAAGTCTCCGTAGGTGTCTTTACTTGATTTAAGCGGATTTAAGAGAGCATTATCTTTACAAAAGAACTGTGAGAAACTTAAATGGAATTGGAACTTATCTTCTTTGTACTAGAATCTGAATATGAGTGCCTATCTTATCTTTTGGAAAATTATTTAAATTACAATTAACTGTGTGAAACAAAAAGTATTTGAAGGAGTGCCTCCTGCTCCTCCCTCTTCTCCAGCCACTGCTCACGGGAACCTGGCTCACAACAGAAGGGAACAATTTTGAACAAAATCCTTTTCCCCCAAAATAATTCTCCTTTATTTTTTTGCATAACATTTTTGTATTTCCGACTATAAATAAAAAAATGATTAGAAAGAAGTTACAAAATTGTGTTGAGTGGACCAGAACAGCACAGAATTTCTCACACATGATAAATCACTTCCCATCTTCCTCTTCCTCCTCCTTAGCCATGGCAGGGCCTCGTGCTTGGCACCGTAGCTGAGGGGGCCACGTGTCAGTTGCTGACGATCTCATTTTCAGAATCTAAAAAAAAAATAAAAATAAAAATAAATCTATATATGGATTTCACATATAGGAAAACGCAAACAAAACCCAAAAGGGCCACATGAGATTGTGGACCCAGAACATGCAGAAGATTCTTCTGCCAGAGCATGCTAGCTGCTGTGCACGCTTGGTGTACCACAGGGAAACAGAAACTGAAATCCTCTGTCAACGTATCACCTGTGCTGTACTTATAGCCTAGAAACATAAACATATTTATGTTGATGGCAGAACCCAAGCACCTTGTGGAGTCCCCCAGACAGCAGACCCAGTTCCCACGGGGGAATAGCTAGTCTCACAGGAGACAGAAACAGAGAAAGCCAGCAAAGGTGCCCAGCATTTGTCTCACTTTATGGGACTCTTGTTGAGTGGGGAAGGGAGAGACACGGTGCTGCATGGCAGCTGGCAGCCACCATGGCAGGCTGCTGAAGGGGTGGCAGCACGTCTGGGGCAAGTCACGGGCACTGGCTCTGGTCCCTGCAGGCTCAGCAGCATGGCCCAAGCTTGCCTCCCTTGTCTGACAAACAGAACCAAGCCTAGGATCCTCCTCCCACCTGGGATGCAGGGATGCACACCCCACACCAGTGGGAACGGGATCCATCAGTCCCCACTAGCCTTCGCAGGGCGAGATGATGGCCAGACATGAAAGGATACAAAGATGCCAAGGGCTTGAAGTGACCGTACCAGAACAAAACGCAATGAGGGTGCCAAGAGCACAGCACAAGGCTGAAGCAGCAGCAGGCCGTGGTGCCACCATGCATCCCCTGCATTCCCAGCACATGCCCCACCAGTATGCAGCAGCTGTGCTGGTGACGTGCTCACAGTGACATGCACCACAGCCCTTCACTCTATGGCACAGAAACATGCATGGTATCATTTGATCTGCAAGCATATATGGATTTTATATAGCATACAGTTTGCTAGATGCTTTCAGAAAAAAAAACCCACAGTCTTTTAGAACAGCAGGGAGGGCAAGGGATATCAGGGGAAAGTACACTGTGCAAACAGACATCATCTGTGTCTGGCATAGCTCCTGGTGGGTCTCCATGTGTTAAGCTTTGCTTTTATTAAATGCAGTCCCAGCTTTTTCACCCCTGCTCTGTCTGCTCACAGGAGAACCACTTTTAAAGGAAGTAAAAAAATAATGCCTTGATTGTAAATTCCTCCCCAAGCTTATGATCAATATCAGTTCTACAGATCCACCTGGACCCACCATTGTTCTCAGCATCTGCTTGCTACTGATGACTAGCATTTGGCACAGAAGTTCACCCAGGAAGACAAGACAAAATTAACAATCTCCAGGTAATAGGGAAAAGCCTTAAGACAGCAGTGGCCTGACCCCTGCCTACACCACAGATCAGCCATAAAGCCAAACCCAGGGCAAGCTCTCCAGGTGCCTGACTTTTCATACAAACCCTCACAGATGTTTATCTCACATCCCAAGGACAACTTCTTGACTACTTACTCTGAATTCAATGTGAACTTTCAATCAAAGACTGAAAGGACAACAGCACTGCGAGATCAGCAAACTCGGTTATACGCAAAATTGTCTCTATGTTGGGGAGAACTATGGGAAAAAGGCAGTGATTACACATCTTGTAGCTACTGACTAACAGTGAGAAAGATATTAGATACAGTCTATCTAGCCTGATAAAAAAAAGTGAATGCTGAGCAAGTTTTTACCTTATTTGCAAAGTAATTAAAAAACCAAACAACACACAAGTAAATACTTTCTTGGGTTATTTTATGTCAGACCTAAAGAACACCCATTTGAGGAGGACTGGCAGCTGGTTATTTCTTCTTAAGTTTCCTAGGTTTTTACAAAGTGTCAAAGCCCTGAATATCTCAGAAAAACTCTGACAGACACAAAAAGGTCCCCAGAAGAGTGGTGCCTGTCCTATCACCTTTATCTCCTTGAGAGCAATGGTGCTGTAGCTGCACTCAGTGTCACCTCAGTAATGAATATGGAGATCTGCTTCTTTCAGAGAGGAAAAAAAAATCCTAACTTTTCCTTCTGCCTTGTTAATGTGCAGATATAACACACTAAATACATGGTGTGAATCCATCCAGTAGCACTACATCAAATGAAATTAATTCAAGTTTCCCTTGCTCACCAGACTTTGAAAAACCAAGAAATTGTCACAAGAATTTCATTGTTATAACAGAAACTTTATCAAAACAGTATGTTGTCTTCTATGCATAGCTTCTCCACACTTACCAAGCAAAATCTAAAGCTTTGCATGTGAGATGGAAGGGCTTGAATTACGCAGCCTCTAAATTCTTCATGTGAAAGTTATTTCAGGGGAGAAGTTTTACAGTCAAATATAGATCCAAGTGTACACAGCAACAATCTTGACAGTACACTACAACTATCACAGAAAAAAGAGCAGAAAGGGCCACATAATTTACAAAAGTTGCTGCCTCCTGGTACAAGCTTGACTTTCAGATGAATCAGTTATAAGTAATCTATTTATCTACACAGCTAACGTCAGCGTCACAGTACATCCAGATCCCTCTGAGCAACAAATTCTTTCCTAATGCAGAATTTATAACCTGACAGCTCCTAAAACCCATTTTATTATGTTGCGCTTCTGAGCTTATCTGCATTAATAAAAGAACGAGGACAGTCAGAGGCTGGAACACCATTTTCCTGTTGCATCTGCAGAGATGGCTTCACAAACAGACCTACCTGAAAAATCAAGTATCACCCCAGCCAAAAGTCATCAACGTGTATAAGTCACAACACAATTCCTGTCTGATCAACGGTTCATTTTAGGAGTCTATAGACAGGAAAATAATTGTATTTACCAGGTTCCTTCTGAAGAAACACCATATGGCTCAGCACACCAGACAGCTTGCCCAAATTCTCAACTGAAGCTCAGCCCGCCTAAGCACCAGCCATCCACAGCCCAACACCAAATATCAAAGAAACGCTTCTCAAGGATTTAATCAATAACAAATAACCATAGCAAGAAATTCCACAATTATGGGTTTGCTGTTTTGTAAATTCAATCCCATAGCAAGATACTCGTCTGCAATGACAAAGAGTGCATGAACAACCTGCACATACACCCTGCAGAGAGACCTTGACCACATTCAGCAACCACACACCTCTCCAGCACTGCCATCCTTTTCCACAGACATCACCAGAAATCAGGGTCTGAGAAGGGCAGACAAGGAACCAGATTAACACAAGGAAACCTCACTAAGGTATTAAACACAGTCATAAATCATTTCATTTGTGACTTCTGTCTCCAAGCCAACATTTTCAACAGCATCTACTGAAAACTCAGGTGGGGAATAGTTGGCAGCAAGGCAGAAATCTATATTGGTGTTTGCCATAGTAGCTAGCATCCAAGACATCAGTCATAAAAAGACTTGAACATTTTGCTTAATTAGGGGGGGAGAGAGAAAGCAATGCTGAGGTCACAGTTTCTAAAGGGAGACTTCTGACTACAAATCTCCAAAGCCAACTTCTGAAGAATGTAGGAGGACAGATGTTTTTCCTACTCAAACATGCACTAACTGAACAACACCAACATGAACCCACCAAGTACTAAGTCCATAGGGCTTGTTTGGACAAATTCTGAATGTCCTCAGAATTGAAAATAGTGCACTGGGATGACAAAAAAACCTTAAGGGCAACTATTGACAAAGCCAAGTTAAACTAATGACTGATTCAGAAGTATTAGTGATTTCCTTCTACAAATACCAAATGGCAAAGCCTGCAACTTAATTAAGAAATTCGTTTCAGAAATACTGCCATTTAGCATGAGGCGCCCTATTCCTGAACACAAATATCTCTGTAGGAGCAAAGAGAGTGCCCCATTTGGCCCATTCAATCCCTCATCTTGTCTTTGATACAAGCCAATGTCAAATATTTCAGAGAAAAATTAAAGAAGTTACACAGTAGACAGCAAAAAAGAAGCACTTTGGAGACAGGTAGTAATATTTTCTCTTTAAAGTTGTGGAATGAAGACCAGAGTTAAAAATGCAAAGAAACTGCAAGGGCCAATTTTACACCATTCTTTTGAATGAAATGTGCATCAGGGAGGTTGAATCAGGATTTGCAAAAGTCTCTTAAACCACTCAAATGTTTCTCCCTGCCATCTCCACCTGCCTGCTTTGTATCCCTGCAGCAGACAAGCAGCGATGGTGGCAGCAGCTCTCCCCCCTGCGCAGCCCCACTCCAAGCAAGCCGGGGATGCAGTGGGAAAACAGGATGTGATTATGCATTTAGATACTCCATCATGATGTACGGCAATCGGAAAGCCAAATTAATGGCATATGGGCACACTTAATTTGGCATGTCTGAAATACTGGGTGCATGACTTGGTAGTTTAAAACATTCTTTCAATATATGTATTAAGTTTCTATAACTTCTATAAGATTGAAAACTGGGGGATCTGTGAGCTCCCTCATAGAAAACTCCTCTCTGAAGCTGAAGATCCACAGTGACTTCACATACGTCCTTGCAGAGCAGTGCTGGAACCGTCGGAAGATGCAGAGCTACAGGACACAGCTGCAGGCCTGCAGCCAGTGAGGCGAAGAATTCTACTCAGTGTGTTTGACCTTTTTGTTGCACATCAAACCAATATGCAAAGTCAGGAATAAAATTAGTTGTTCTGGGATCTGCAGGGCAATGTCTTTTTGGGTATAGTACAGATCCCCCCAGTTCTGATGGTGCAGCTCAGGTCCCTCTCACTTCTTTGCTCACCTTTTGCTCAAGAAGTTGTCCCATTTAATCTCATGTCATTTGCTTAATTGCCACTGAGGGTCAAAGCACCCTTTGACATGATGGAGGGCAGTAAAACATAGCTTAGAGTTAATGGTCAGAATAATTGCAGCCAAGGCAGCTATCAGAAAATTAAAATCATGAATGGCGAAATACAAACATCAACCTCTGAGCCATCATTCGGCCCCAATACCAGCTAAAGACACAATAGTTGGGAACATACCCCTGGAAATCTGCAAGCTGCATT